TCATGCATTTGGAGCATAACTTGCAGATTATAGTTTGGAGTACATTGGAGTAATTCCCACCAGGATAGGAAGAGAAATTATTATGGGAGATTCTTATGTGAGTGGGTGGTCAAGAATGAAGGAAAACCTTTAACATAAAGCAGATGGACCTCTCTTATTTTATACTGTGTATTGGGATGCAAGATAATAATCTCCCAAAGTGTAGGGTAGTATTGATCTGATCTTCACATCAAAGGAATAAGGCTCAAAATATTATTTGTGAGGTAGAAACTCAGGAATGGAAATGAGACCTTTCTTGTATCCTTAACTCTGTGCTTGCCCACCACTGTCTGGGCAATGACACAGAAGAAATTAGGTCCAGAAGAGTACACAAAAGCAATTGTTGTACCTTTCTCTACATGTAAACTCACACAGACGCAAGCCACAGAACACTTCTTGACTCAGAGTGCTACTTTTCTCTTTGGTATTTAAAATTGACTTCAAAAACTACAGTGTACCAGAGGAGAAAGTAGGGAAGACTATGGGCCTTTTAACATCTTTGTTTCTAAATCCTTGAGTCATATCTGGAAACAGACCATACAGGGCTAGGAAGTAGGTGGAAAGACATGATGATCTCTGCTGGTCTGATATTGGGAGAGAAATTTTGCTCTGATCTAGTAGCCAGCTTGACTGTAAGTTTCTCAGCAACAAACACCGACACACCCAAGAAAGATAGCATCAGTAGGTTCTATCTTGCATCCCCAGGATGCAAACTCCTTGCATCTCTACATTTAATTTCTTATGTTGGACAATCTCCAGTGAAGTTACAGAAAACTGGAATTCAGGCGATTTCAACTGCATTCATGAGGGAAGGGGAAAATTCTCCTTTTCATGAAGATGTCCTGGTGATGGGAGTATAACATTGGAAATTCAGAGCTCTGAACTCTAAAGGACTATGTGATTTGAAGCAGGTTGTCTAATTTGCTTCATGGTTCTTTATTTAAATAAAATAGTAATGCCATCTTTCTTGGCAGTATTTCTCTGTCTTAAACAGGTTCTTTATAGAAAGAGCTATCTTATTCCAAGTCCCATGCAGCAGTCAACTGAGTCTCTGATCTCAGCTGCTGGTGTAATGTAAACGAATGCTTCTTTACTATAACAAAGCATTGCTTTAGTGATACTTTTTTATGAGATTTGTGTCAAAACTGATCTATTTCAAATGAATGGGGAAGCAATTCTGATTGAAAGCAACTGCAAAACCCAACTGCTACATAAATTCCAAGCTTTCGGCTGGGAGTTCCCACATCTAGGGGTTGCAGTTCATGCTAAATCATGTTTGAGATGTGGACAAGACAGTAAAGGAATGAAAAAAATGGAAGAAAGGTAGACAGATGACACAGTTTAGACTCTAGGCATAACTGTAAGGAAGATGTCATTCTCTATTCTTTCTTCCCAACGTTGTTTTTGTTGCAGTACAGGGGCAAGGGTATCCGTGTTTGTGCTTTCTTCCCACCACATATGTGCAACACCTGTGGTTCATGGGAATGTGGGAGGAGGTGGTTCTTTCTCTTTCCTTTATACTTTTCATACTACTTATTCTCCCTCCCCTTCCTTCTGGAGGTACAGGGCAATGAAAGGAGGAATTTAACCAGATTTATGCTTTTTCTCTCTTATACAGCTGTATGTGTCTTGGGATATTACAATTGGGTCTGTTTCTCTTGCCCTTCCATTAAAGTTCCATCATATTTTTTGGTTCCCAGGCTTCTCTGACAGATGGATGATAATATGCATGCGATCTGTTTCTGCTTCAGGTACTTACAGATTATGAGTGGCAGTGGGGCTGGCCAGCTTCAGCTTCTTTTGTGGAGTTACTGCCTCAGTTCCTTTGAAGAACAGAAAAAGGAACTGGCTTCCTTACGGGTTGAGGGTGGGAGGAGGACTTCTTTCCACCAGACAGTGGAAGGCTGCCTTTTTTTCATGCATGTTGCTTTCCTCACAAGCTTTTAGTGCCCTATGCAAAATAAATGTAGTTTCATAAAATACCATCATCAAATTTTTCCTGACTTGTCTCAGCAGAAGTAGCAAAACTGAGAGTGGAATTTTTTCACTATGAAGTAGTCAGTTCAGATAACAGAATAACATTAGGGAGTCCCCAAATGATGTGGTTCTCTGGGACTGTATTGTCCCATTTGATTTGACTTTTCACTAAATGGTCGCTGGCCAAGCTTCCTCATCAAAACTCAAACTGATACAAACAATATTGGATAAAATTAGATCAAGCTAGCAGTTGAAATTCTTAAATTTAAGAGTGAACTGCTTTTGTTTGTTTGTTTAATTAGGTTTTATGTCTTCCACATCTGTGGGGTTGCAGAGTTCTAAAATGAGCCCTACTGGGTGAGGTAAAGCTGTAAGTGTTGCACACTGATGCCTCCCAATGACCAATATAAAGCAGCACACGATGTATATTTGTAAAACTCTTCACCTCCCCCACTCATAATACCATCATTAGATCATCCTTTAAGTAACTATCAAACCTATCACATACCAGCCAGTGATTGTCTTTGTGTTAAATTCTCATTTAATCTCGCACAGTGATTGCATATTATCAAGCAAGGGGGGACAGCTGCATCATTTTACAGTGCATGTACGTGCAGCCATAACTCTTGTATTTTTAACACAATATTCTGCAGAAGCTGAAATAGAAGTTAGTGTACTCCTAATCTTTAAAAGTAATATTAATAAAAAATTAAATGGAAATATCAAATTCTGTCTGTATAAAATTCCATCCACTGTCTTATGGTATCCAACAAAATATTTTGTTGTCTAAAGAGCCAGTTGTATTATTTAAAGAATGCCTTTTCATTTTAAGTATTTTCATAGCTTTAAAAATAGCATTCTCTACGTGCTCCTATCTCTTTTTCTTGTATTTTTCCTGTTACAACTATATTTAAATAAGACCACCATAAAGCAATTCATTTGTGGACACTGATTAAAAAAAACCCCTAAAACAACCTAAATGTCCAGGAAATTGACCTTCCAGAGACGGTGTTCGTGGTTTGAGGTCAGAGAGTTGATCTTTAACCCAAACTGCATAGTTTAAATTTGTGTTTTTAGCACAGGGTTTATCTGCTGATATCAGTCCTTTTTTGTATGTTTATATTGGTAGAACATAACGAGATTACATATATTTTGATAAATAATTGCTGCCTTGTAAACTTGCCACCTACCTACAGTGACTTATGAATATTTAATGATAATAAGTAGTAGGAACTTCACTGTGTTGCCCACATGCACTTAAAAAACCCAGCAGCACAAGAATACCTTTTATTCTGCTTTTTTCGCTTGGGGTAAGCAGTATGATATTTATATACATGTTAAATACACATCTCAGGTTAGCGAAGGCATATAGTGCTTTTGGAAAACTCCATAAAAGAGTATGGCGTAATAAACACCTGAAGAAAAGCACAAAGATCAGTGTTTACAGAGCCATAGTGCTGTCTACTCTCTTGTATGGATCCGAATCATGGGTCATCTACCGCCACCACCTGCGTCTCCTAGAGCGCTTCCATCAACGCTGTCTCCGTACAATCCTAAACATCCACTGGTCAGATTATGTGACCGATACATCTGTTCTTGAACAGGCAGCAATCACAAGTATTGAGGCCATGCTACTGAGAACACAGCTGTGTTGGGCAGGGCACGTCTCCAGGATGAAGGACCACTGCCTCCCTAAGATCCTGCTTTATGGTGAACTTGTCACTGGCTGCCGCAAGAGAGGAGCCCCAAAGAAAAGATACAAGGACTCCCTGAAGCAACAATTCAGCCTCGAGCATATTGATCACCATAACTGGTCTACTCTGGCCTCCAATCGGGAGGCCTGGAGGCAGACCATCTATAACGCTGCTGATGCTTTTGAGAAAGCACGCAGGATCACCCTTGAGGAGAAAAGACAACACAGAAAGAATCGAGCCTTGCAGAATATACCATCTAAGGAGTCTTTCTGCTGTGTCTTTTGCAACCAGACTTGCCTTTCTCGTATTGGCCTTTTTAGCCACCAACGCGCTTGCAAGAAACGTGGGTAGAGCCCTTCCCAAATCTTCGTTCGCGAAGCCTAGCCATGAAATACACATCTAACATATTCCTGTTCTTAATACCAGGAGTTCCATTTAAATCATGATTCTGCTCTTTCAGGAAGGAAAGGATGTAGGATGGAAGACACAAATTTTTGATATTTGAATTTTTATTTTAGGTTGAGACAAGGTCGACTGGCCAGTCTTATGCTTCTGGCTATGAATTAGTGTTGAGAAAAAGGAAAAAATACAGGTAAACCATGGTCACCATTTTGCGGATGCAGGCATATTCTATGAAGTCTAAAATTAGTGCCTGTAAGTCAACAATTTTGTAGACTTCTGTGTGATGTTTTTGGTTTATCCACTATCACCTTACAGATCCTATAGGCAGTACTTTTGTGTCATATTGCGAATTAGGCAATATCTGTCAATAGCAGGCATCACCTTTTATCATCTCTTCATCTGGTTTCTCTTTTTGTAGGCATGTAATAGAGGGTCCTCACCTTATATGTTGCTTCCAGATATATTTGTACAAAGCTGGTATTGAAAGCCACATTTCTGATTTAATCGTGTTGAATTGTGACTCCTGATTTTGTTTGCACATTTGAAAACTTAGTGCTTTCATTATCCAACTTGCTTTACAGACCATGTTCAAAACAAAGTTGCTGTATCATGTTTAATTACATATTTTTCCTTCTGAGACTTGCAGGGCCTGCTACACAGCTGTATTTTGTCCATACTAAAACAGTGAGGACAGTAGCAACAGCTCTGACATTGATAGCTAGAGGGTTTTTTTACTTAAAACATTCTGGCATAGTAGTTATTAGAATAATTTTTTTCCTTCCTATGTAGCTCCTGCATATTGAGAGAGTAAAATCCATAATTTTATTGATGCTACAATAGCATTTTTTCTTGAAAAGCAGTGCTTTATAGAATTTGTTTTTCTTTCAGGGAATCAGTTTCCTCCTGTTGCAGCTCAAGATCTTCAGTTTGTTCTGAAGGCTGGATACTTGGAAAAACGTAGAAAAGGTAAGTCTAGCTATCTTTGTTAAAGTTAGTGCATATTTCATGTCTGGGAAGTCTATATGCCTGTATTTAATGTTATACACGTGAATAACTTTATACAGGAGTGATAAATAAAATGAGTAGAAGCTGAAGTGTTCAAGCATTGTTATCCAAAAGAAGCATAACACATAATTGCTCCCATAGTATTAAAAGAAAATCCTGTTTCTTTATTGACTAACAAAATCATGCAGTGAAAGTCCACTGTCAACCATAATCCAGACACTTTCAGATATTTTTGAAGAAAACATTAGGAACCTATGTAAAAGTACCATATGTTGACTTCATGTTTCAGTGAACATCAAGATTTATTTTCCTTCAAGAGGGCAAATATTGATCTCAGCTTTGGTTCAGTCAATATTTACCTTGATTCAATAAATCTTATATTGTCACTTTAATACCCACTTAATGCTGCAATAACTCTAGGAAATATTTAGGAATTTTTTCATTATTTCCTTATATTTAATGTTACACATGACTTCTCTCTTTATATGATTTCAAATTCCCATTTGTTTTCTTAGCACCAATTTTTATTTCTAATTTCCTTCTCAGTGCCATACATTTCTCTTCTTCATATCCAGATTTTGTTTCCTTTCCTTAGCGTCTTTCCTGACTCCTCCTCCCTCTTACCTCACCCTTGAAAAGAAGTAGCATATTTGTGTTCAGTAATGACATAAATTGATATAACACAGATTATATTAATTTCAGATCACAGTTTTCTTGGCTTTGAATGGCAGAAGCGTTGGTGTGCTATCAGTAAGACGATCTTCTACTATTATGGAAGTGACAAAGGTACTTAAAATTATGTTTTAATGCACAAAAGAATATAAAAACTTTAGTGGAGTTGGAAACTGCAAATCAAAGGTCATTTTAAGAAATCAGATGAAACTTCTAAAAGAAAGTTCTCTTTTAAACAGTTCTAAAACAGTGCTGTGAATTTTCAAAATGTGTAAATATTCTTCAGAACCTGTAAATGATGTACTTGTTTTCTAAAACAGAAAAACTGAGGAAAAACAAGAGTAAGTTTCTTATAAAGCTACTTTGTGTGGCAATAACAACTGGCTTGATAATATGATAATATGGTACTTAGCTGTTTTACTAGACATAAAATGTTCTTTCTCTCCAAAGTATATTAATTTTAAAACATCCTGTAATAATTAAACCTTCTGAGTTCTTCAGAGATGGTTCTATCCGGGAAAATATTAGTCCAAAAGCTGTATAGTGAAGTTCCTTGTTTCTTTTTATATAGTTCTGGAAAAGCTGGAAATTAAGTAATGTATTTAACTAAAAGCCAGCAGTGGAAGCTAAAGCTAAGTTCTGAAGTTGACTTTTAATGGCCAGTTTAGAAAGAATCTGGAATTTGGTATAAATATTGGGATATCACTTCGAATTTTTAAAATTGACAGTCAAAACATCCTTTAAATTGTTTGCCATGTGCATTTGGTGTTTAAGGGTAGAGCAAATGATACAGAAATATATCTTAGTAAATTTTAAAAGTACAATTGTCTTTTTTTATTGCCCCAAAAAATTCCCAGGCAAACTTTCCACTGAAGTTTTTTTTTCCTTCTTCTTCTTCTATTTTTCTTATATTTGAGTTATTTTGTGTTTTTTTTTCTTCAAAGAATAATTTAATTTGCTCCAGTTTGTTTCATTTAAACTCATTTAAACTCATCTTCTCTTTAAAAACAAAAGAAATAAAGTAAGAGTCTAATTCTAAGTCTGGTTTTCATTTTGCTACAGTTTCCCATCATATTCTATTTTCAGAGTTCTGTTAGTATATCTGTGAAATGTTCCGTTTTCTTCTTTACTCTTTCCTTGGGATTTACAGATTGGTCAAGCTTCCAAAACATAAAGAATCTGTATTGAAAAAATTTTTGGAGGTGTGGCATAACACTGATTTGTCAGTACTGATTTATTTGTTTCACTGGAAAATGATCATGTGCTGCTTGTTTATATATATAGTTATACATTACCTTGTACTTTAAAAGCAGCAATTTTTTTTTCTGAATGTATTGCTAGTTCATGAAGATTGTTCTGCATTTTAAAATATTTGTATTTTTATCTGCTATTTTTTTAAAAAAAAGGTTGTGTTTTTTTAACATATTTTCCTTGTGGCTATGCTCGTTAGTTTATTTATGCTTTCTAGCATATGGACTTTGAATTAAGGCAGGAAAGTTGCCCACCTACTGTTTTTCCATCTTTTTTTTTTTCTTTTGCAACAACCTGATTATCAAATCTGTGTTGAAACTTATAATACCTGTGCTGAAAGTTAAGATGCATGAAAGTATGTTCCCTAGCGCTCAAAAGATTGGTGTCATGTTAGGAATTGACTGTGATATTCTGTGGGATCTCTTTCCTTTATAAATCTGTATACAAATGTTTGGCTTATACATTTACGGCTTTTGTAGAATGCAAATTTTTTGAGGAAGGTTCTCCTAACCATAAAGTAAGGATATGGGAGGGGCACATAGTCCATGGAAATTGTATAGAATCATAGAATCATTTCTAAGATCATTGAGTCCAAACATTAACCCGGCACTGCCAAGCCCACCACTAAACCATGTCCCTGAGAGCCACGTTTACATGTCTTTTAAATACCTTCAGGGACGGTAACTCCACCACTTCTCTGGGCAGCCTGTTCCCATATCTGACAACCCTTTCAGTGAAAAAATTGTTCCTAATATCCAATCTAAACCTGGTGCAACTTGAGGCCATTTCCTCTTGTCCTATCACTTGTTACTTGGGAAAAGAGATTGACCCCTATCTCATTACAATGTCCTTTCAGGTAGTTGTAGAGAGCATGGCATGATTGGACTCCAAACAGTAGTTCATGGAGGAAGCAAACAAGTCAGATGCATGAATTTCTGCCCTACCTCCATGTGACTGGTGCTGTTAGTGCAGCATGGTGTAATGATTTAACCTTGCAGATATTGAATGACTAAATCACTCCTGAACTTGCCTTTGAAAAAAAAGGTTTTTCTTTGAATAAAAAGGTTTTTCCTAGACTGGTCAGAGGTACTTTCTTCAGCCCTGTGATGCCATCTTATATAAAGGTTCCAGTGCAGAAGCAACTTGCCATCGTTGTGCAGAAACTGGATACCAGCCACGAGAAACTAGTTTACTGTTGAAACTGAGCTGTCATCCTAATGGTTTTAAACGTATGTGCTGCAGTTTATCATGCTGTTTAGCTGCAGATTGTCAGCATGGATGATGTGTGCAATGAGGCAATCATGAGGAGGTCTGGCATTTAGTCACTTTAAGAACCTGAAACTGTTTTCACTCCCACAATTATGGCCAGCAGTGGTACCTGCCATAGCACACTATTGTTTTGGGTCCTTCTTTTACTGTGAGCCTTGATGCTGTGCCAGATAACTTGGACCGTGTAGAAAATCAATGTATGTTCTTACCAACTGTAGTTCTTACCAATAGTGTTGAAGTGTGCATTTGGGTGGCTTTGTGCAGTTTGCTGCCACTCCTGGGATGGTGTCCATAAACAATGCTGGTCTGCCCTAGCCTGTGCAATGTCTGGAGGTTTTCTATAAGCTGGGCCCTGGTTTCTGCCAGGTTCCAGGGCTGATTCACACAACACAGGCAAATTCCCCCTTGTCAAGGTGAACCTTGCTTCAGAGTAACAGGGATTCTGTGTGTACTCAGTCCTGCTGCCTGTGTTGCTTTTAATGGGTGCTAGTGCCTCTGTGTTGTGGGACGTAAAGCTGAGAGGCAGCAGGGATTTCTAGGTCCATCTTGGACCTAGAACTGTGTCTTGAACTGTGTCTGTTTTATAACTGTGTCTGTTTTATAACCAGACTGATAGATGAATAGTCTGTGAAGGCTATTTTGTGTCTGGTGCAGTGTGTAATTTGTTCGCCAAGGTTTGATTTTTGCACTTCAGTATCAGTGGAAAAGGGGACCCCTGGTGGCCTAGTGGTTAGCATGCAGGACTCTCACTGCTGCGACCACGGGTTCGAATCCCAAGTCCCCCGGGCAGATGGTAGCTCGTTAGCCCTGTGAGGCCATCCATCTATGAGAAGGTCACTCTAAACAAACCTACGTCCTGAGGACCTCACTGCCATTGTCCAAGCTTGCTTGGCCCCGGCAGATGAACCTTAGGATTAAAGGGTGGGCTCAGTTCAGCGCAGGCTGTGTCTCACCTAAAAAATCCATTGCGCAGGCTGGAAAGGTAAAAGACCTTTCCCCAAATCTTCGTTCGCGAAGATGGGCCATTATTATCAGTGGAAATGTAACTGAATGGTAAATGTGAGGCTACATGATGCCTTTTTGTTATTTATGTAGATTTGTTGTTTCCACAATGCTTTTAATTCTTCTAACATTCTCCTTTTTATGTTGGGAAAGCAAGAAGAAGTGTGGAAGTGTATAAAACTCATAAGGACATGTAAGGAAGAGTTTGAAGGATGAAAAATATGAGGCCTAGTCCAGGAGAATACAGTATAAGCTAAAGCCTGTGAAAATACAGTAAATGTCTGTGTGTTTGTTCACCTAAGAGACTACAAGCATTCTTTTAACAGTTGTGATGCCTGCAGGCTGGCGTATGTCTTGTTTCCCTGTTTTTATCTCTATTTTCTCCTACATTTGGTGCAGCCTTGGGTAGTGAAATAATGTTATTTATCTGTGCTTAGACAGGTCTAAGCGAATCACTTACATTTTTTCTCATGATCAATGGTATGTGGAGTAGATGGAGGAAAAAGGCTTAAAGGTTTGACCTAATCACATGTCAGGAATAGGTATTGCAGGAAGTGCATGTGTATTTGTGCGTGTGCCTCCGTATCTGTTGCTGGCTTGTAGCCCACAACATTGCAGAGGAGTGTGTTCAAATGTCAAAGCTGGGTGGGATTTCCAGAAGCTTGCCTGGTCCTCCTTTTCACAGTCTTTCCTTCCATAAACCTTTTATACTCCTCTCTTCTTTTCTTCCATGCAGTTGCACCCTGAGTTGACTACCCTAATTGCCTGTCGTTTTTCTATGTGATCTCTGGCTGTTCCTGTGTCCTTAGACACCGAGATGGTATGGATAACCTTTCAGACCTCAAAGTGCATGTGAAGAAGGAAAGTTAATTTGTTGCTTTATAAATGAATGAATTAATGGCTTCATTACTTCTTCCTCACTAGGCCACAATGTTATATGCCCTTCTGTCTCAGCAAACTGGAAGGATCAGCTAAATGTTTAGCAAGACAGTAATTGATAACATTATGGTAATTTTTCCCCTGTTAATGGACACTAAAAATTTATTTTCATTTTTATAACTTGAAAATGGTATCTGCTTGCTTGCAAGTAATATGATGTTGAAGAGGAGTGTGATTCAGAGGCTTTTAGAAAAATCTTAGTTTATGTTTTTTAAATTTCTTTACTTTTAACACGGACATGATAATTTTGGATTTCTCTGAATAGTAAGACAATGATGGCCAGGCCAGTAGTGGACTACTTCTATTTGTGCAAAAGAGGAAATTATGCATGCTCAATAGGACTTTGTTGTAGCAGAGTGATGGCAATCAAAGGCATCTATCTAATGTATACCGGATCTTCTGTTACGAGACTGTTAAATTCAGACCTCAAGAGGCACACTTGCGATTAATAGTGTGTTATTTAAAAAATAGCTACTGGGTATAAGCAAACTGAATATAAACAAATTGGTGCCCTAAATAGTGTGTTTCAGTCATTGCCTCAATTTCTTAATTTTTTTTTAAATTTCCATTTCTCAGAGGGCTAGATTAAAGGAAAGAAGAAGAAAAAAAAGGCGATTACATTTCAGATCTGCTGTCTAAAAGGGAAGAAATTCTGTGCATGCATTTGGGAAGGACTGTTCCAAAAGCTGGAAAAGGAATTACCATTTTGGAGATACTGACACTTAACTATTTTTAGAAAGCAGACATCCTGCACATGGAAAAGTATGTGAAACTACATTTAGCATGAAGCCATGTAAACCATAAAATCTTACAGGCTCCTAATTTCAAGATGAAGAGAGTTAAATTATAGATTCTAATAGTATCTATAAATACTTTATCACTCTCTGAAATCTTTCTGTTTGCCTTTGTTCCTTATGCCTTCCTCTGCAACTTCTTTCCTTTCTGCTATCCGAGTACTCGCTGTTCTTCAGAATGCACTAATTCTTTTTACATGTGCTAATAATATGGGCACAGTGCCTTAGGCCTCAAATTTACAACCCAGTCATTTCAAGATCTCATTGAAGGTTTACCCTTCTTTGTTTTAAAAGTTCCCATGGACTTAGTTACACAAGGTTTCTTCGAAACCCTTTTTCTCTGCCTCCCTTGAGACTCTCTTTCCTCAATATAATATTGGCCCTGTTTCCGTTGTTAACAACATTTAACCATTTTTTGGATGAATGAAGTTTATATGTAAGAAAATGTTTAAAGTGGCTCTCAAATTTAATTCAGATCTGAACTTTCACTATTTTAAATAGAGCCCTCTCATATTTCTCTAAAATACCTTAGTTTTGACTTTTTTCATCAGTAGTTTCTGACTCTCCACTCTGCTATACTACCTCTTTATGGTTCTAGATTCCTGTTGCCAAATGATCATCACAGACCTAGATTTATTTTTCTGTTGTGTACCTGACATGGGAAGAAGGGGAGAGGAGGAGCATGAGGGGTGAGAGCAAAGAACAGCTTACTCTGAAATGAGATTTGGCTTCATTGTGGAATAACTTATCCGTGATGATATTCGTGATCCTTTTTGTTTTTACAAGACTGATATTATTATACTTTTTTCATCTCTTTTCTATATTGTTCTGGAACAACTTAAGGGTTTCCTGTTGTTGAATTGAAAAGCCCTATCTTGAGAAAATAAGAGGCAGCAAAAATGTTGTCATTCTTCAGAGAAGCGCGTTCCGTTAGCATGTGTCTTCCTATTTCCTCCTAAGTATGCTGTTGTGTTACTGCCTAAGCAAAACTCTGGCTCTGATTTGGGGGTTCAGAATGAAAATTAAATCTCTGTAATGTAAATGTGCTTCTTGAAGCTACTTCTAAGGCTCCTGCCATAAAACCCAATTATATCTAATTTTAAGTCTCCAAGTAAAATCTTTTAGTCTTCAAAGTTTTTAAACATCAAAAACTGTTTAATTCTCCCTAAGGCACAGTCTCCAGAAAATATTTCTGATATAAACAATTTAACTCTGCATGTGGAAGTTCATACAAGTCACTGTGGCGCTCACTTCACAGGGCAGCTTTAAACTGAAAGTGTGAGTCTGTCTGCAGGACTACTTAGCTGCAAGCCTTTGCCAATAAACAAAGTTGAGATGATTGTTGAGTCTGATGATCCCAAGATGGCCCTTCATTCAAGCCTGCACCTGACTACTGTGCCTGGCCAAACAGCTACCCTGGGTCATGGTTTGCTCTATGGTGATCAGCTGACGGGGTTGGTCTCCCATCCTAACTGGAAAGGTGTATTCTGCAAGAACAACTGGGATTTGTAGACCTTCATTGCTTGTCACCATCAGAGCATGCAGCTGAGCTACGGCTGGCCTGTGCCCTGCCATTTTGTATTTGTGGAACCATTTTTCAGGATATACTAGGTCTTACATCTGGCTAGCTGCCACAGGGAGTGTGAATGCATACTGACAGTCTTTCTCTCAACTTTGGTAGGTTCTGAGTCAGGGCTGTGAAGTGTCTCATTGTCTTAGAATTTCCTCATTTTTAACATACTAAGTATATGCATATTACTACACTGGACTTTAGGTTACTGCTAAGACAATTAGAAGTAAAAGTAGCAATGCTATGACTATGCAATGCTATAGCAATGCTATAGCCTATTGCTATAAAGGTCAGTGAAAAAATTTAATAGCAAAGGAGATACATATACATATGTATTTGGTGGTGCATACAGGTAATTTTCATTAGCACTGAAATGGGATGTTCAGAGAGGTAAGACAAAACCAGTATAAATGCCAGAACAATCGAATAGAATATGTGTACCATGCACCATCCCCTTCCGAAGTACGGCATCTTTATGTTTAACTGCAGTGCTCTTTGAAAGAATGAGTACCAGTGCAGAAATCATCTGAGGTTCACTGTGTAAAAGTCTGTTACCATAAAAGGGATCTTCCATGTCACAGAGAAATAGTCTCAGAAATAATCCAAGAGACTAAATTTGAATATTTACCTAATTTTTATCTTGACAAAATGTTTTTACCTTTTGAACCTGGTGTTTGTTTATTCTGTCTGCGTGTTCCTATCTTCTTGGGTTTTGATAAACCTCCAGCATGGGAGAGTGAGAAATTAATGTGTTTCACTTGGTCTTCTCCCTGAGGTCACAAGTGAGGGAACAATAAAATTCCTAGGCAAAAATGAATTTAATTAAAATGGAACCTAGTTAACCTATTGCAAGTTATTATTTCTAATATCTGCCTTGGTGTGATTTCATGAATTTTGCATGTGTGTGCTGTTTGATATAGGGGTGGACCATTGAGAAAATATAAAATATTAGTACTGTATCATTAGGACTTATTCAAGACATAATAGAACCTACTGTGGGGGAAGGGACTAGAAGAGAAAATAGAACAGTGCCCTGGATTTTCTCATATAATTGTGTTATTTGGTATTTACTTGCCCTGGGTGAGAGTTCATAAAAAGGTGGAAGGACAAGGAATTTGTGTCTGTGCACATATAAGATTACTAGCAAGAGTATTTGACTGGTGACTGCCCTTACATCCATTGATGTTCATGTTGCTATGTTAGCCAATTTTTGCCCTCTTAGGAGTGGAAAAAGATTTTTTTTCCTGTTAAATTTCCAGAAATATGACAAAATTATGTCAAAAATTGTAGTTATCCCTGTTTTGTCTACTGTAGAATTTTCTCCTTTTGTTGACAAGCATAAGCAATGGACGCTCAATTTGCACCTAACTTCTATTCAGCAATACTTAGAGTGGTTTTGCTCTTGTGCCTGATGCTTATTGTTAATTAATGCTTTTCTCTACTGTGTAAAAAAAACCCCCACACTGAATGGCATTTTCTTCCATATACAACTCTACTTTGTTCTTTGTTTGCCTGCACAAAATGTGACTCATGATGCCTATCTTCACTTGAATGCTGCACTGTGATCTGCAGAAATTGCAAAACTTAATCACTTTTACATTTTTGATTTGCTTTTAATATTCACCAAAATCTGCCAGAACACATAAAATCCGAGGTAGAGTTTGGTGTGAAGAGCTCAAAAGGAGTACACAGGTGCGGCTTGCCCAACATGCAGTATATTTAAACTCAGATCTGTTGTAAGTGATACTTTTATAAACCAGAGCCTTTGAAAAGTAGAATTGTCTTTAAAACAACCACATGGCTGTACATAATAAACTGTGGTAGGGCTCAGTACTTTTATTAGCTAATTAAACATTTGCTGTTCTGAGAGAAATGCTTTTGGAACCAACACACATGCACACACCTGAATTTATAACAAAATTCATTCTGTATTTTTGCCATATGGAAAGGAGGCACATCTGGGAGTGGGTGGGAGAATGTGAAAAGAAGCTTTTGCAATTGCTTAAAAAGGAGTTTGAAGTTTATTTTTTGAGTGAAGTGGTTAGTTTAGGAGGGAGCTCAGCAAGTTCTTAGTTAGACAGGTTTTCCCTTTGGTTTACTGAACCTGAAAGAGACACTGATTTATAGGAAACGTGTCTTGCAAGTTCCAGTTCTTGGCTTTCCCTAGACACAAGTGTCATAACATGCACTTCTTACTAAATAAGACCACCATCTGCAAACATCCCCCTGTGGAATTCCTTAGGCATCCTACAGGAAAATGTACTTTTGTGTACATCTTCCTTTAAAATAAAGCTTTATCTCCAGAAGCATCACTTAATCATTTTGCTAAAAACCTCCCTGTTCTTTGTAAAATTCATGAAATAGAAAACAAAATCTGAATAAACGATAACCTGCTGAGCCACTTACGTTTACTGTTGTAAATGAAGCTCTTACTTTGTTTTTATCTCCAACAGACAAACAACAGAAAGGTGAATTTGCCTTAGAGGGCTACACCATCAGAATGAATAATAGCCTTCGGAAGGATGCAAAGAAAGATTGCTGCTTTGAAATCTCTGCTCCTGATAAGCGCATTTATCAGGTTGGACTTTTTTATGTTGACTTGAAATTAAATTGATAAAGCCGTTACAATTCCAGTTACTGAATTAACATTTCAGTAAAACAACCTGGACTGACATATTAATGAAAAAAGGAAACCCTCGCTTTCTTATATTGTGTATTCATATATTAGGAAAAAAAATGTGATTAAACGTATGTATGTATGTGTTAAAATATTATCTTTTTGGTCAAGAGCGAGGTAATCTATCATCTTTATCTATTGGTCATTTCAATATTAGCATTTTAATATCTATTGTATAGTGTGTCTGTGTGATTTTTTGAAGGAATTAAATAGTAAAAAAAAAAGTTAAAATATGTATCAGTGTTAAATACATATTGTATTGGTCATGACTTTTAAAGAAAAATCTACATAAAGGCACATATCAGCTGTGCAATTCAGAGATCTATCAGCTAGACATCAATATAGAATGTAAGTTTAATAAGTTTTAAATATCTGAGATTGTGGTTGAAAGCCAGTTAATTAAGCTGTCAGGTAGTGTGTTGGAGTCTGACAAGAACATTTTTAAGAAAACTGTACCCAGCAGTCTAAAGAAATTCATGGGTGTCTTCTAATTGTCAAGGGCAAATTTTGTTCATCAGTTCTGGCTTTGACATTGATGAAGAGAAGCAGCTTTTTTCTGCACAGCTGCCAGCTGCTGATCAGAGTTTCAAATCCATCATCCTCTCCTTCAATTACGTAAATTTGTCAAAATTAGCTGTACATTATAAGAAGCATCCTTGCAAGAAAAGTACCAGAAAACATGAAAAGAATTACTAATGGTTTCTTGAGGAAGTGCCGAGAATGTTACAGTCCCTCTTTTTTATTGCTAATGAAATTGTAGTTGTGTTTTTGTCATTACTGCTAGTAGTTATTAATAAATGTTTAATAGTTTACAGCTGCCACTCCCAAAGAAGCAGAGGAATGGGTACAGCAAGTCAAATTTGTAATTCAAGGTAAGCCAGCCAGTAGAGCAGTAGCCTTTATTGCCAGTAGTGCTTCATGATGGTAGTTCTGTCCATTAACTTCTCTGTCATGTTAGTACATGTAGTATTTCCACATGTCAAAGTTTGAAATAGCAAGTCCTAGTTTTCGATTGTGTTGTAGCTTTTATATGACTTTTCTCTTTGTGCAAAATTATTGCTTTTCTCGAAGAATACTAGAAATACTAGAAAGCTTGAAAGCTCTCCGTTATATAAGCTCCCTTATATAAACTGTCCCTTATCCCTTGAACAGGATAAGAAAATAACCAGAATATACTGTAAGGAGCAGGTCGTAGAAGAATTGTTTTCATTTTGCGTAAATGTCTGCTTAGGTATTCTTTTTTACTAAGTGTTAACCTTTTAAATTGCTGCCACATAGATACAGGATCTAATGCTATTCCCGAGGAGGAGGAAGAGGAATACGATGATGTTGGACAAGTGAACAGTGAACCGACAGATGATAGCATTTATGAAGAAGTTAAAGGTACGGTTGAAATTTTTTACTTTGTGACTTGTGATCACTTTGTCTTATCTACTTCTGGTTTGATAACTCTGAGTTGCTTAAAGTAAGTGAATAAAGTAACACAATGAATAAGATACTTTCGGATTTTAGGTTTTGCTATGACATTGAAAAAAGAATGTCTTCAGTTCTGAGTGAGAACAGTTCAGTTTTCTTTAGCAGGAGCATCAAAATAGTGCAGAATGTGTAAAAGTGAACTCAGGGGACTTTTGGCTCATTAACATTTTCTGGTATGCAATTTTTTTAAATTAAAAAATTGACTTGCCTTACAGCTTTTCCCAGCAACTTGCCCATTATTTTTTCTTTATTCTTTTTGGCTTTTGTATTAAGCAAAAATTTGCTATCGCTCTAAATGTTACTATTAGTTTCCATCTTCTGCCTAATACATGATATTATAATCCTGCAAGAAAGCAATGTGTTTTTTTGAAAGGACTCTGGAAATGAACTGTAAATAAAGCAACATGAGTATCCACACTGTTTTGTTTTATATCTTCCAGAATGACTATGGTTGTACAGAAACCTTTTGCTGTTGACTTTTCAAAATGGTCAAATGATTGTGGCTCTAAATGTCCACGTGTATTTATCAGAGGGCAAAACAAAAGAAAAAGAGATTGTGAAAGTTCTTGGAGTTGAGTAGAAATATTCAAGTACTAGGGGAAAGGTGGAATGTTTTATTATATTTTGAGAAGCTACAAAAAAAATAAAATTTTCAGTTATCATTAGTTAACAAATGGTATTTTAAAGTGATGTGACAATTAATAATCACTTTGTATGAAATAATGTTCTGCATGCCTTGCTGTTTGGAGCACTGCAATTATCAGCAATAACTTGAGAGGAAAAATTAGTTGTGTCATGTGATGATGACTAACTTCCTGTATCTATTAGGTTGAATTTTCTGACCATTGGAGAAAGGAACTTTTTACACTTCATATGCTTTTCATTTTAAGGTTGTTTCAGTGGAGGGAAACAACAAGGGAGCAGAGAACATAAGTGTCTCATGAAAATAATTATCATAAAATTCTAAAATTGTAGCAGCACCCAATTCTTTAAGAGCTGGGGTTTTTTTGGATTGTGCCTTGACTACTTCAACACAGAATGCATGTTCTGCTGAAATGATGTGCAGTTGTCACGCATGCTGAAAAACTCTTCGGCGGTGAATATAAAAACTGCATTACAGGGCTTCATCTTATGATTAGAAGATACAGCCAAACCTTATAACAGTGCTTTTTGGATGCTCAGGTTCTTACAGAAGATGATCTCGTATGCTTGCTTACATTTTTGTTAAAGAAGCTCTAGATATATTCTGGGATAAATTAGTCTTTTTTTTTGAGCTTCACTTACCTGTTCACTTGAATCTCAAACAGTAAGTAGATCTGGAGCAGTAATACATACAATATTGGGAGAGGGCTATTAGTTAATATATATTTTGAGTTCTTTGCTTTGAGCTCTGTCTTCAAAGAATTGCTGCCTTGGTGTGATTGTGCAGCAGTTTAGAGTATTTTTACTTTTGGTCCATTTTTATGTCATTTTTCCAGAAGCTGTTGTCTCATAATGTGGCTAATAAACCTGAAATGCAACAACGTCACAAAGAAGGGATAGCTCAAGGAATCTAGTTTCAGTTTTTAGTTAAATTAATTTATTTCCCCATGATCTTGGAGTGGTGCTTCAATTTCATGTTATCAAGTAGGGATTATTTTTCTTTATGCTTTTTTCATCTCATCTATTTGAACTGTGAACTTTTCAGAAAAGGCTATCTTACCTTTTACAGTGGAGCTCCTAATTTTGACTCTGATGTGTTGGTATAACTAAGTAAAAATAAAACATAAGTTTGCAATAGATTTTAGATGATTCTTTTTTATCTTCCGCAAATGTGCTTTAATAATTATATGCTTAAATGGAATTACAAACCTATGGCTCCAATACCTTAGACCAATCCTTCTCTTTTTAATCCATATCATATTGAAGAGTGTTAGTTGAAATGCTAGTTGACAAACCTCACAGGAGTTAGCCTTATTTGTTTCTTGTATAGCTGTTCATCTAAACTTGATGGTAAAAGAGCACACTCCAGTTTGGTGTAGTCTCCTTTAATTAGGCCTGATTGGTTGCATTTAATTACAGTTGGCTGTCCTTTCTATTTTCTCACGTAAATGAATTACTCTTTTTTCCTTTCATGGCCAAAGGGTGGAGCATCATTATCCCTGCTGTTACCTGACCTAATAATATAGATCAAATAAGGAATTCAGAATGCCTTTTAAGAAAACAGAAAAAAGTTATTTGTACAGCTGCAAAGCTATGGTAAGCTCTGGAATGCAGAAGGCAAATATGTGAAGAGGGAGGAGAAATTAATCTGCACCTTGTTTTTGTCCTCAAAACATTTTCATGTAAGAGGCTTCTAATCATCTGTTTTCACAGATCCACTAGCTTTATAAATACTGAATTTCAGGTATGCAGCTCATTGTACCTTGTTATTATTTATTTGGCTATAATTTGCATATTCTCAAGTAAGTAAAACTTTGCATTTCTGTGGTTCTCCAGTGGCTTTTATGTCAGCATTTCAGAAGAAACTTAAGCCAGTTCATTTAGTAATACTGGGTTTGGTATTTGAGTAAAGAGTGTTTGGATTAAAAAGAGGATATGGAAAGTTTTGCACAGGTTTGTAAATTGGAAAATTTTAAGAACTGTTGCAGTAATCGGGACTAACTGATGCTATATTCTCTAGCTATCTCATTGCTTAGCTATTTTTTTTCCTGCTTGTGGCAGGAGACAGTGTAGATGAATTTTCCAGGCAGAAGCTGGATAGCTTCAAACCGGTATCCAGAATGGTAACAGTCTATTAGCCTATTAAAAACATAGATTTCAATGGTATTCGCTTTGTACTGTCTGCTGGCAGGAGGAGTGGGTTGATAGTTGGAGGGTGTACAAAGAGATGTGAGAAAATTAGTCTTTTGATTTGTTAAGTCACTGTCTTCTTTAGTAGCGCATAGGAATTCATATTTACCATAGAAGCACCATTTTCCTGGTTCTCAGTGTTAGTCAGGGTTTTACTGTGGTTATTCAGGTAAAATAAAAAACATCAGAACTGCAAGGAATTATCAACTTGTACAACTTCCCTTGCAAGATTCTTCAGGAAAAGAAAACTTTATACTGTCTTCAGCAAACTGGGCTTTAGTATTTTTGATGTTTAATAAAATCATGGACGAAAACTTGGCTAAACAAAATTAAAAATATTGTCAATAAAGGTGCATTTTTGCTTAATTAGCTATTTATTTTCTACCTTAGTGCACTCTTCATGATTTTGCAGTCCACACCTGAATGTTATAAGCTGTAACATAAAACAAACTCTGAAACTGTAGTATTAAATAACTCTGTGTGTGGGTAGAGCTACCTAGATGCACAGAGTTTCTAGTTTAGTGGTGTTTTAAACAATGGACTTGTCATAAAAGAGAACACGTGCTAGCTTAAAAGTTGTTACCATCTGTTACAGCCCTTGAAGACAGAATTTTTTTATTAACTTAAGGTTTCAGTGACATAATTTTAAGGGCCTTCAGTATTGTCTTCTGTGGTTTCATGTCTGTGTGGAGCACATACCCAAAACTGCAATGCTAACTACTGCCTGCCACCTTAATGCTTTCTACAACCTCAACTCAGTTTGTGTTCTGTCTACCACACTCTTGCACAATTGGAGAAAATAGGTGTTAATCTGAGCTAACATACTTAAATTTCAATCTTGTGTTGTCTTTTTTCTTCTGTTCTCTTTCTCCTTGCAAACTTGCATTATAGCAATAATTTCCAAGGTATACAGTATAATTTCCATTAAAATTATTCTAAAGATAAGTTTTGGTTCTTATTTTAATGGTGCTTATTTGGTGCATGGAGGTAAAAACTGCCCTTACAGAACAAGTAATCCTGAAGCAACGTAACGTGACACAAGATTTGTGACACAGGATTGTGGCTTTGTGCCATCCCTTCTCAGCCTGTCCGTAGCACAAACAACTTCCGGGTGAGAGAAGTTAAGCACAGTGAAATTCAGTGCTGTGGTGATCTCCAGGCAATACAATTTGCCTCGGTTCCTAATTTTCTGTAAATTAAATTTGAGGATTGATTCAGTCTCTAATCGGGCAAAGGATGAAGGGAATGAAAAGTTTGCCTTTGTCTTTTGATTCCTGCTGTCAATCCTCTGCCAAACAGTTTGGACAAGCCCAGGTATCTGGCCAGTAATTCTGTTTTGCAGTGTAATTGGAAGCTTAGGTTGGGAAACTCTGTAACTGAGGCAAAGCCCAGGGAAACGTAAGAAATGTCTTAATTTTCATGCTATAAGAAGTGTGCTGCACACTTACTTTAAATAAATTATTTTAAGTAGTTTTAAAATTATGTTGATGTTGTTTCAGAACTGATTTCTGACATTGAATATGAATGTAGAGAGTAATCATCCTGTTTCTTTCTTATGGTTGTTGCTTTAAGCAGCTTTGTTGCTTTATTTTTTTCTAATAGTAAACCCTGGCAGTTAGGAAGCATAACTTAATACCATCCTCATTCTCACTTCTTTCTGGACTGCTTGAGTTTTGAAGAAGCAAATTGTTTTTATGATGTTATATCCCTTTCATGCGCATGAAGCTGGGGGAAAAAAAGAACATATCTCTGACTTAACTCTTCTTGGGAAGAAGGAAGTAATGATTATGTAGTGGAGTTAAAGTTTGATGCGTCACTCATGAACACCAACTCACAGCAAATATTTGTATTCTCAAAATGTAGTGTCAAAAATATTGACTTTTTGACACTGGAAGTGAAGATTTCACAGCACTGTGTTAATGAAAATTCTTTTTCAGGACACCTTTGCTTATTTTAGAGTTTTCAATGAATCAAAGTCTGGGTATCTGGGCTCAACACAGTGTTTAGTGTCAAGCAGTCTCAGTTGTGCTTTACAGCTGTATATCAGTTCCTAAAAACAGTAGCCTAAAAGGAAG